CCCTGGTAGCGCAAGGGTTGAAGTCGCAGCACTGTGAAGCTATCCGCAGCCAAAGCAGCACCGCACGAGTTTGATGCCTGGCTGGCCCACATGGCGCAGCAGACCTCTGTATCACCTGCTGCTCCCCTCAGCAGTTTATTTCAGTCAATCTGCCTGTTCTGTTATCCACTCTGTCTCTGGTGAGTCCTCTCACTCTCCGCACCTGTGGCCTGTACCCGTTTTGTATGCATAAATTTAAAAAATCTCAGAAAACTAGGAAAATGTGAATTTCCTCAGCATGCTAAAGGCCATTTACAAAATTCCTACAACTAACAAACTGAATAGTAAAAGACTGAATGCTTGTTCCTAACATTGGTGACAAGGCCAGGATGTGTCTGCTCTCACCTGTGTCTACTCTTTCACCATCACTTGGAAAGGTTTGACCAGATTAGGACAAGAAAAAGAAATAAAAGGCATTCAAAAGGAAAACTGTAAAGTCTAGAAAGGAAGAAAACATTTATTATAATTTGTAGACATGACTAAATAGAAAACTTTTAAAAAATCAGGAGTGAAATTTGGCAAGAGATCAGGATACAAGGCAACATACAAAAAATCAACTGTATTTCTAGATATTAGCAATGAACCATTGGAAATTGAATTTTTAAAGTACCATTAATAATAGCACAAAAATATGAATTACTACCAACATAAGTGCAACAGTTGCATGTATGTTCACTCTCCCTGGATTAGTCTATGGATTCAACACAACTGTCTTCCAAATCCAAATGGATGCTTGTTCTTGTCAACAGGCTGATTCTAAAGTGTATAAAGAAAGACAGCGGAACTAAAACAGCCAAACAGGTTTTAAAAAGAGTTGGACTTACATGAAGCTACAGTAATCAGGTCAATGGCGTGTGGGCGAAGCAGACACAGACTAATGGAAGAGTTCAGAAACAGACTCTAATATTACAATTGCTGACTGATTGTAAACAAAGGTACAAAGAAAAATGAACCTCAATATGGCACATATATAATTTTTATTAGATTTTTAGATTTAGCTTTACTATGTACCAAAAACGCAAGTGGACCACACTTAAAAGCTGAAAACTATCAAACTTCTTAAAAAAAAAAATCTTTATAACCTCAAGTTAGGCAGATTACTTAGAAATGGCACCAAAAGCATAATCCATTAAAAAAAAATTGATGGAAAAAGCTGTTAAATGGAAAAATAAAGACAAGCCTCAGACTGGGAGAAAATATTTATAAAACACCTATCTGATAAAGGTCTTATAACCAGTTTATAAACATTAAAGTCTGGGTTGAAATGTGGTAACACGAAGTGGGCTACAGTTTTTACAAGTTGATGAACTTATAAAACATGAGATTTTTGTCCGCGACTGGGAGTGTGAAAATAGGATAACTCTATACTTGTGAAGGAACTATTTTTAGAAGAGGCACCTGACATTTATGTTAAATCTTAAATATATCCATATCCTTTAATACAGTAACTGTTTTTAGCGATGTATTCTAAAAATCTTGCAGATCAAGACTGGCATGTATGTTCACTAATAATTCTTGGCAAAAACGAAGTCAGTTTTGACAACAGGTACTGGGTAAAATAATGGATCACCCATAAACATGAGGCTACGTAGACAGAGGTCTCGCAGAGTGTTTGATATGGAAAACTGTTCTAAGATATGTTCATTAGAGAAATAGAACATCAAACAGTATACATGATTTGTTTCTCTAAATAAAAAGCATATACCCAGGAAGAGAGTAAAAAAAAATACATAACAAATGAGAATGAGTTCGCTCTGCATACTACCGGTGGGGTGATTTTTTTGTATTTTCTGAAGAACGTGTATGCAGAACCCAGAAGTTTTCGTTAAATGACTTACAGCAGCATAAATGTGCAACATGAAATTCTTGGCTGCCTTGTAAAGGGCAGAGAAAGCTAACAGGGTACATAGGATCTGATTTCACAAGGGGGTGGGCAAAGTATGGTTAAAAGGGCAGCTCCAAAACTCTTCACATTAGTTTTGCCTTTTCCCTAAAAAGGTATGATCATAATGGACATTGTAGTTGACATCTGGATTCCCCCTTCATCAGTGGCCCCTTTCAAGCTCTGTCTCCCAAGTCACATTGAAGTGGTTTTATTTGGGCATAAATACACTTCTGGATTTTCCCCTTTGTTTTCTGATCTGCTCTTTAATAATAAAGCTCTTCCAGTACAGAAACAAACCCCCCAATGCAATCTTACATATACATAAATGCTGTTTTAGGACTCAGATGTCGCCCCCTAGTGGAAACATTCTCAAATAACATGTTGCTTTTTACATTACTGTGGAGTTTAGGTGAGAAGTATTAAAATATTAGATTTGTCCCTTATGCCATTTATGTTTGCCAAATTTCTCCTTTTGGAGGAAACTAAAGTGAGTAGTGCCTTACCTGTTTTGATAGGCATTGTGCTAAGAGGAGGGAGGGGTGTATGTGTGTGTATGTACACACATAACTTTAAGCCATGAGAGTGTTTCTTAATTTTTATATAGATAGTAGGGCACAAAGTCTAATACTACCTGCAATAAAATGCCAAGGAAAGAAAATTAAATTTATATTACACTTAAAAAACAAATCTTCAGCATTTGCGGAGACCTAAGATTTTGTAAATTAAGCATTTGACTAATACTAAAGAATAATGTTTTAATTACAAAATAAAGAACTGTCAATCCCTAAGTCTTTTGGGGGAGGGGAAGAGTGTGTGAAAAACCTTTTAAAACCCGTTAATAACACAAACAGCAGCTTAAATGACTGGCCATATGAACAAGTAACTAAAATAGTGCTCTCAATACTAACATGAATGACTCAATTCTTGATTATTTAGCATGCACCTATCTTTTCTTTCCACTTGCTTTTGTTTTTGCAGAAGTGTATATTACTACTTTATATGTGGTAAAGACAAGATGCTGAAGAAATATTCCCTAAGAAGATAACATTTAAATTTCATTAAGATGCTTTTCAGTACTGTTTAGCTTTCACATATAATTTTCTCAGAATAAACACATTACTCATAAATACTGTTAGACACAAAAATAACCTGTCTTCATATTTCTAGTTTTAAGAATATCTGTAAACCAGAATAATTCTCACATAAGGTTAAAAAAATCTTCACTTAATTTGAAAGAAAAAAAAAAAAAAGGATGCATTTTAGTGCCAAAAGACTAGGTAGGGCTTCACAGAAGAAAGCCTGATACCCCGCAGTTATGTAAATACATAAGACGCAGAGGCTATTGCCCAGCCACTGAATAAAGATCAAAGGAGATTAACACAAATTTATTTTTCCTGCTGGAATTTTTGCAGGTTAAGACAGAAGCATAGAATATGTTTATGTCTATAGGTGGCAAGAGGATAGGAAAATACAAGCAACTTGACAAGACTAAGTTTATTCTAAGTATAATTTTTATTAATAAAAAGGTTACCCATAACCATATAAGATAAGTGGCTGGGCTAATAGTTTGCTACACCAAAGAAATTAAAAATTGATACTTATGAATATTTTACAATAATTGATAATAGCATTCCTTGATAGAGGCATTTTAGTTTTTAGCAATGTTTCCTTGAATATAAAACACTAACCTTTAGTGTTAAGGATGACAATCATCCTAGCTACTAGGGAGTCAAAAAAAGAATTCCCAAGAGCTATTTGGTGGTTTTATCTCAAGACCTACACCCAAACTGGGGGGAAACCACCTCCCAAAGAGATCTTCAGGAGAGTCAATTAGTCAGTATCATGTGATACTGGTGGCAGGGGACTATCTCACTTCCAAGTCAAGCATAAAGAGTAACACAAATTATAAATGCACCAAAGATCCCCAAATAAATTAGTAAAAGTGCCATTACTTTAAGAATTATTAGACATATAATCAATGTGTTTAAGTACAAATTCAAATTTGTTAAGTCCAAAAGATACAGTAATTTTATTACATAAAATTTCTGTGTGCTAAAAATGTTACCTTACAAGACAGAGTAATTGTATAAGTGTAGAGGGAATCACCATTGAATTGTTCAATCATTTTTCATTGATAAGGATAAAATAAAAGGTAGTGGACAGGACAAAAAAGCAGCACTCAGAGTCCTCTAAAATTCAAGGTGGTTATATTACTGTTCAACCAAAACAACTACCATTCTCTAATAATATAAATGCCTACTCAAGCGTATCTTTTAAAAATAAAGTCCATTTTTTTCTCCATTAAAGCTTCTGCAAGACTGACAAAGGTACATTCTACCTCGTAAAAATAGGAGTACTCTTCATCTTTGGGTAAAGTATCACCACTTCAGGAAAATGTAGTCATGAACAGATCACTATATATATTTTTTTCTTGAGGCAACTGTTGGGATTTCATTAAACACTTTTTTGAACACTGTACCTTTAAAGTTTGTCTTTAATACTTTAATAACAATAGCTTTGGGAAAACAAAAATATAAAGGAAAAATACCCAAGGCAAAATACATTTCATTCAGATTTGATAGCAGTAAAAAAAAAAAAAAAAAAAAAAAATTAGTGCAATGTCAATTTTAATCTATGTAAATCACTTGAGGTTAGTTTTATGTTATATGGATTGAATGACAAAAGTCAACTTGTTAAAAAAATGTTAAATTGTTGACTTAATAAGGCAAAAATGAAATTAAGCACTGTAAAAAAGTCTTTAGAAATGAAGTTCTACAAATTTGGTTCCCATTTACAACAATTTCGTTAACAGATAATGAGTTAAGTGTAGATACAATGTATCCAATACCCTCATAGCTACAGTAAAAAAGATCTTTAGTAGCATTATAGACTGTAAAATTCTTAATACCAAGTTATTTCAAAACATGTTGATACAGAACCAATATCTCTCCCTTCATGTAATTAACAAAAATACCAACAAAACAATGGAAACTCAGTTCATTTCACTGCGCCCATAGGTATGACACAAAATATTGGCTTAAAGAGGTAGATTAAAAAGAAAAAGAAAACCAGATTCTCCATTCTTTGTCACTTTTATTCAGTAGTAGTTTTTTTTTTCCTTATTTTCAGTGCCAGACATGGCAAGGAGTGATTACAGCCAACTGTTATTAAAACATTTGTTCGCAACATATACCCCCTTTACCACTGACCCCAAACTGACTCATTTTTGTGTGCTTTCGTTCTTTCTTTTTTTAATATACCACCACCAAGACTGGGTGGAGGGGGCAGGGGTAAGAGAGATGAAGGGGAAGAGTCCAGGAGGCCAGAAGAGGAGGAATGCTACAAGCCACAGTAAGAATGAGCTGTATTTAATTTAAAAAAGGGGGCAGGGGTGTACCCCACAAATGATACAGTAATGAGGATACACAATTAAATCCCATAAGCATGACTGAAGGCTTTCACTGTGTTTGACGTCATCACAATGGAAGGCATAAAAAGTGGAGTAAATCAATGTTGATACAGTCCAATCTAGTCCATTAGGCAAGATGGTGCAAGAAGTCATTTAAATTAAAAGTGCCCTACCCTTACCTAAATGGCTAGCAGACATGGAGAACACCACAGTGATGAATCCACAGAGCTTTCTCCATGTAGCTATAAAAAATATGTTGTTGAATGGCACATTGTCAAACACTGGAAAGGGGCGCCACAATGGACCTCTCTCTTTTTTTTAGGTACGAATGCTAGATTCAACTATCTCAACTAAGCAGGAAGTGGGCTCTTCTGCTAGGAATGCCAACCCTAATTCACTTTGTCTTGAAATATATACAGATTGTTTGTAGTAGCTACAGCAATGATATTTTCCTTGGGATGCCAGGCTGTATGAAGTATTTTCTTGTTGAAGTCTAGGCTGTCAACACTTATTTCATCTTTCTTTCGCTTGCCACTTGCACAGACTTTGCGTGGCTTCAGAACCGTGCGAGGTTTATTGTTTTCCCGAGATGCTTCTAGGGTTATGTCTCGCTTTGTGTTCCTGTCAAACATTCTGAAGAAATTATTGTAAGATCCAGTCATGACAACACTGTAAAAGTACACAAAGCACTCAGTCAAAAAAGTGAACAGGAGTTTGTTTTTAGTAAAATGATTCAGTGATGAAACCTAGCCTAGTACTTCACAGGAAATAGCTACTTCTAGCAGATCTGGATTAAGGGTGAGGGCTGCAAATGAACCCAGGGGATCGTAGCCTAGAAACAGGGTACTAGTTAACTTAGGTTTCTACCAATGGCTACTTTTTGTGATGGCCAAACCTATCACCGAGTTTTGAAAGCATTCTCAAGCAAAACCTGTTAGTAGGAGGACCAAGCTATCCTGCTGAATTTTTTGTATTTATGGCCTCTGAAATGAATCAATACAGCCACCTTCTTGAGCAGCACCATCTATGGGACAGTGTCTAGAACTGGACTCCAGCTGCTTGTAAGAAACCAATGCTTTATTATTTAAATCATAAACTATTTAATTTGTTCCCTGGACGCTGTCTGATTTGGATAATCCTATCTTATGAATCCTTTTAACAAATTTGCCCCAGAAAATATTAAGCAAGCATATACAATTTTAATTAACATCATTTCACTTGTAACACTAAATACATTTTAAGTAAAATTTTTGCAAATAGTTTTAATGCTATCAGGTTAAAGGGATATTAAATTATTAGCCTGCCTAAGATACAGTCCCATCAATTCCACTTGCCACCCATAACTGCTCAACATTTACTAAGTCTTTCCATTAAGCAAAAACTTCACTAGTTTGGAACTGTTAATTTGAAGTGGGTCTGATGCTACTACTGTAACATCTTTCCCATGTGGCTTAAATTTTTACTGTAAATGAGATTTTTAAGATAAAAAAATTTTTATCTTAAAGATTTTTATCTTAAAAATCTCATTTACAGTAAAAATTTAAGCCACATTTTTAAGATAAAAAATCTCATTTACAATATAAATAAACTGTGGAAAAGATGTGATAATTCTTAAAAATAAAACTGAGGGCCTTCCTGGTGGCGCAGGGGTTAAAGTCTCAGCACTATCAAGCTATCACCAGCCACTATGGCATGAGTTGCATCCCCAGCCAGGGGTCTAACCCACATGGCGCGGCAGACCTCTCCTGTCTCATCCACTGCTCCCCCTCAGCAGTGTATTTCAGTAGATCCACCTGTTCAATAGATCCACCCCATGCTGTCTCTGCTGAATCTTCTCATCCCCCACAAATCTGAGCTACAACCCCAGTTCTTTTATGCATAAATAAAATCTTAAGTAAATAAATTTAAATATTTATATATACACTATATAGCTCACATATTTAATTCTATTATCTATTCAATAATATCAATTCTCCCTAAAGACACTTAACATCATCATCAAAGTCAAGCTGGTACATGTACCCATAAGTAATGAAACTGTGTTTGTTTGAAAATGATTTATGTAATCCAGACTGGCAATCTCAGGAAATCTAAATTTCTGTCGCTTTAAGGGACTAAGACTGTCTATGGATATTTAGAAACCTTTAAAGGTGTTACAAGGACAGCATTTCTGTGGTGGTCTTGCCAAAACAAATAACCTGAATGTATTCACAAGGAAATATTAAACACTCAAATCAAGGAACATTCTATAAAGTAAACGATTTGTGTTCTCCAAAAATGCCAAATTCACAAAAGGTAAGTAAAGAATGAAGAACTGTTCCAGGTTAGAGTCTAAAGAGTTGACAACTAAATCTAACATATGCTTTAGATTGAATATTGGGCCAAATTTCCTTTCTCTGAAAGAAAGGACACAACTGTATATTGTGAGAAATGGTATACTGTAATGGGATCTGTGGATGAGATGGCAGTACCTCAGCAATGGCAATTTCTTTGCTTTAGCTATTTGTTCTATCATTATAATGAGTGTCCATCTTTTAGAAAATACTCATAAAAGAATTAGCATGATGTTTAGAGTCTACTCCCTACTGATTCACAGAACGAAAGTGTGTGTGTCTATCTGCATGTGCTTATGCAGATACATATAAAGAAAGCGAGAAGAGAGAATGATACAACAAAGAGCAAAAGGGAAACCTGGGTGAAGGCAAAATAATAGTTGTGTTACTACTGTAAATTTTCTCCAAGTTAAAAAATTATTTTAAAAAAATGTTACTGTGGTGGGGACTGTGGGTGCCCACGTGGTGGGTGTGGCATGGTAACACACGTGAAGAAGTGTGAACCTCTATCTCTGAATCATAGTGTTGTAAACCAAAGTTATCTTAACTTAAAAAAAAAAAAAAAAAACCTTTAAATGTTAGGGAAAAAAATAACTTCTGATAATCGAACAAAACTTAAAACTGCTAATAATATATTTAAGTGATAAGAGGAAAAATTAGTTGTATAGTGCACCATGTCCTAGTAGATAGTATTTCTTTCTCTTCAATTTTGCTAATTTCTATTTCGCTAGTTTTCCCTTTCTCCCAAGGTTTAGTATTGATACTTAAAGTCAAAATCGGCTTATTTCTATCCTAGGTTCATTATGGCCAATCCAGTATTGGGCCTCAAGTTACAATCAGATAAAAATAATTGTTTTACAAGTTAAAATAAAAAAGAAGGAAAATTAACAAGGTCTATTATCCTCTATAACAAATAATAACACCATGAAACTTGAATCATATCAAGATTTAGGATGTAACTATTATTGAATAAAGTGCCTCTAATTACTTACTATAAAGGCAAGTAAAAGTAATTCCAAAATTATACTTTTACTATCACCTATTCCATTAGAACATAGTAAATGGTAAATAACATTATCAACTAAAACACTGAAAGATTAAAGCATTTATCCTTGGAAATAATGGTATTCCTATGATGATATAGTGAAATAAAAAGTAAGTATGTAAAGGTAGTAAAAGGACAAAGTAAAAAAATACCATTGCAATGTTGGGGATGATAAAAAGCCTTAATACTCATTACCATTTCTATGAGGTATCAATGTAGTATCTGGAAAAGCTTATCATTCCAAATGGGATTCTCTATTGCTTAAATTACTTCTGAAAACAGTTTAATAGCAAAAAAACTGAAATTTCACCATTCTGTTAATGGGTCACCACTGTAATTTGCTTCATTTCTCATAAAAGGGAAAAAATCAAAGATATGTAAAAATCACTAACTTATGATATCCAGGGTATTTTGTGTATTTTCACAAGTAATAGTGAAATATAATGTTAACTTTTAACTGACAATATGGCCATAAGATTATCAGTTTAAGTATTTCAAGGAAACTGTGAGTTGTAAAAATTAAGTTCAGATTTGTAATTTATGTCAATCTACTTTTAGTGAATGTGGCAACCATAGTGGTGAAATAGTAAATTTCGTTTCTGTAGTAAAATCCACATTTGAATCAGCAGGTTCAAATTAAAAGCAATTACCTGTCAGATCCATTCCAACAACATTCAAATTTGTCAAATATGCAGTCATTTTCATACAGTGAACAAAGTTTACTTCTGAGGTATTCATGCACCTGAGGGAAAAAATAAACATTATACAAATATTTAGTTTATGCCTCAAAATCTCCAATTAAAATTAGGAAAATTATTTAATAAATCCATTATAAGAAACAAAAAAGATCCATCTAGACATATGCACATACATTTTTATTTTATTAACATTCAATTCTCTTTGTAGCAACAAAGGCATTTCATCCTTTTACAAACATGAGCCCCTCCTATGAATACAAGTTTTCCAACCGAGCTACAGAATAGTACCTTCTGGGCATGGTACATGCAGCCTTCATTACCTTGAAAGCATTTGTAAATGACATAAAGAGATTAAAGAACATCATATCAATATCTGAATATGCTAACATGGCTTTTTTTTTTTTAATAAGATTTTACTTATTTTTGTGTACAGGAGCTAGGGTATAGGCCAGAGGTGGGTGTGTGTTAGAGAGAGAGAGAGAGATCCACCAGAGACAGAGTGAGGAGCAGAACAGGCAGACTGCCTGAAATACACTGCTAAGGGGAACAGCAGGTAAAACAGGAGGGGTCTGCTGCATCACGTGGGTCAGCTCCCTGGCCAGAGATTGGACTCAGGCATTTGCAGTGGGCTGTCAAAGTGATAGCACTGAGACTTACTTAATTCCTACGCCACCAGGAAGGCCGGCTACCATGGCTTTCAATCTATTAATTGCTAATAAAAAGTACAACATACAATATTGTGTTTACTTCCTTTTTAAATATCAATTTCCAAACATAAATAACTGAAGCCTGTATTTCCACAAGCACTTGTGTTATGCAGAGCATGATCAAGCTCTGGCAAATTGTGTTTACTGAAGCTATCATCAAAAGCTATTAAAATGTACCTCTTTTTAAGGTATAATTCTACAATTACTAATACTTCACAAAGGGATAAATTAGAAATCAGTAAACTGGTATTTAAAGAGTATTCTGAAAAATGATACACTTCAATATTAAGTTCCAAGGGAAGTTCCTAAGTATTCACTTGTGATTGGAAGAAAAAAAGGAATCTCTAACTTATTACCTTTTATACTTAAAAAGATGCTTAAAAAGAAGTGATAGAAAAAGCAGGTACCTTCTAAATGCTTAGGATTCTCCACTTTTATGCAATGACCTAATGTCTTTTTAAGTGTCCATTTCAATGTTAAGAATAGTGGAATGATTCAGGCCATATCAATATGACATTATGTGATGATTTGTTAATGGAGAGGAACTGCAACCCATGTGAAGTTAGGATCAAAAGTGAGCGTGAAAGGCAAAAAATCACTATGATCAAAAATATCTGTGAATCACACCTAGCTTAAACAAATTCAACAAGAATAGTTGGATCTGTATGTGCTGCATTATTAAATTTATGTTTCTAGTCTCAGTCACTAATCCGATTCAGTATAGCAAAGAAAAACCCTGCAAATCAGGTAAAATTAAGTAACAATTCAGTAAAGTTTTGGAATGCACGTACGGGGTTTTTCACAGAACAATTTTAGAGTGTTATAGTTCAAATCAATAATTATAAAACGTGAGTGATGTGCTTGCTGGGGGTGAGGACCACTAGGCGATCAGAAAGTTAGCAGTTTCCCACACCAGATAGCAATTCCCAAAGACCTTTTGACTGGCTTTATAAGCTCATCTTCTTAGCAGCCAAATGGCAAAATGCCAGTCCATTTCACCCAGCATGCCAGTTAAATTCTAGTTCAACTACTGTAGCACATACTCCAACAAGGAAGCCTCTCTCTAATAGGACTGACCATTCGCCCCAATCCTTTTCTATCCCCCGCCTCCAGACCTTAATAGAGTGTGTTCTTCCTTCCTCACTTTAAATGTAGATAGCAGCAGGGGGAAAAGTTGCCAATATTCAATCAAATTGGTAATAAAATCAACTTTAACCTCAAAACTGAACAGACAATAAAATTTATAAAAGTATATATAACCTTAACTTCAGGAAAAGCAACATATTCAAGGATCTGTGAAGGAAGAGACCTAATAGTGAACAGACACTGCATCTGTATTAACATACAAAATTTTTCTATAAATATGTAAAAGTAAATAGAAAATATGTGCATTGAAAGAAATAACTGGAAATACCTGGTATGTTTCCACAGGTCTGTTTTCCATATTTAAGTCCCAAATTTTGACTGACAAATAGTCTCTAGTCATCATATATCGACCACTATGGCTGAATTTTACATCAGAAATAGAGGAGATGATTTCAGAAAAAAAAGACCTGTTACTGGGATCTTCTGGTTCTTCAAACACTAAAAACAAGAAAAGAACAAAACAAAGCAAAACAATTTGTATAATATTCTGACTTGGACAAATCATTTGCTCAAATAACCATTCACAAACTTTCTAACAGTGAACTAAAAATGACAGGCCAATAAAGAAGTGACGAACATCTGTCCAGCTGCATGAACATAATATCCCTGAAAGTTTCTTAAAAGAGACTGACTTTATACTGAGGTTGAAGATGAAGTATATATAGTACACTTGCAGAACCCTATGCTAATTTATTATAACTAGACTCACCCAGGACTTCTGATTTTCAAGTCACTAGCCAGATTGATAGATTTTGCATCTACCTCACTGACTTTGTACTGTCACAAGAAGACACACCCACCGCACCATCCAAATTCACGCCATCATTTACATTTTCAGTGGCCAGGCAAAAATTTTTGATTAAGAGGCATATACCAACTTCATGACTTAGAAATAATTGGCATCATGAAGACAAGGATACTGTAATTCCTGTATTTTTTTTTTTAACCCAGTGCTTTAAGTCAAGGAAATCTAAGAAGAAATCTTCCCAGGAAGCTTAAATTAGGGAGAAAAGCGAAAACGGCTGAATATGGAGTTAGAGAGCCCGACACCAAGTCCCCAAAGAATAGAGTGCTATAAAGGTATGTCCACTATTTCAACACACATGCCGTCTAAGAGCCTTCTATGTTTTTCCAGTAGAATAACCCATGATGCCTCATGTGGTGTCAGCCCAATTACCGAAAAATACAGTAGATCCTGGGCACCGAGGTTTGGTACTTGTACAACTGTGTAAATGTAGTTACCATGTCTGAGTCAAGTTTCAAACAGAAAATGTTATCTTTTGAAAGAAATATGCAATTACTTACGTTTAGAATGCCTATCACAGAGGGCAGATGCCCTCATGTCACATAACCGAATAGTTCCTTTACTGCTGCTGTATACAAATGTGTTACAGCTATTTGGATGGAATTCTGCCGCTGTAATCACCTCTGTCAGCTCTTCCATGTTGGCAGGCTTGATATCCACAATATCTAGATAGCATTTCATTAAGGAATTGCCACTTAGAAAAATGGACGAAAATAAGCTTATATTTCTTAAAATCTAAAATTAATTCACAGACTTAAGCACAAGTATTAAGTGTAAACTGCATTCTATTCCTTATGAGTATAAATTCCAGGATGATTAAAACTTTTAAAGCTTAAACAATATATATATTAGAAGAAAACATGGGCAAATTTAAAAAACTTCTTTAGAATATGGAGGTCCTTCTCTTTTGATACAAAGCTCAGAAGCATCAAGATTGATAAGCTTATCTTCCTAAATATTTTTTTTAAAGATTTATTTATTCATGCACACAATAACCAGGGTACAGGCCAGATGTGTGGGAGGGTAAGAGGATTCACCAGAGACAGAGTGGGGAGCAGAACAGTTAGACTGACTGAAATACACTGCTGAGGGGAGCAGCGGGCAAGACAAGAGAGGTCTGCCGTACCATGTGGGTATCTCGCCAGCTGGCTGTGATATAACCTATGCTACAGAGGCTGCAGACAGCTTCACAGCGCCGCACTCAATTGCCTGCGCCACTAGGGGAGGTCCTTATCTTCCTAAATATTAAGAGAACTCAGTGAACACTCCAAACATAACAGAACAAAAAATTCTTAATGGGGGCAAAAAGTGGGAAAGTACACAACAAATTAGGGGGCCAATTATTTCACATTAAAAAAAGGTGCTTCAGAAATGAGCAAAATAGGGCTTCCAGGGTGGTGCAGCGGGTTGAACACTGTACTGTGAAGCTGTCCGCAGCCTCTGCAGCACGGGTTCAATTCCTGGCTGGCCAGGGAGAAACCCAATTGGCGCACAGACCTCTCCTGCCTTGCCTGCTGCACCCCTCAGCAGTGTCTTTGGTCCGTCTGCCTGTTCTGCTCCCCCCTGTCTCTGGTGAATTCTCTCACCCTCCTGCGCCTCTGACTATATCCCAGTTCTTGTATAAATAAATCTTAAAAAAAAAAAAAAGAAAAAAGAAAAAAAAAAGAGCAAAATATTCAGTAAGAATAACTGCAAATCCAAAGAAAAAACTGTGGGAGAAAAATAAATGGTTGACGAAAGTGGGAAAACGCTCACATCTACTCACGATTAAAAAAACAAGTTGAACAAAACTTTTCAACAAGAACTTTTCACTGAATAAACTGGTATAGAAAAACAGGATCTTTTATATACTATTGGTGAAGCATGAATTACTATAAAGTGCTGACATGTCAATGATTACCTATTCAGAAATCCACACGGCAGTAAAAGTTGCTAACAGTTATCAAGAAAATTTAAAATATACTTTACAATCTGTTTATATACATTTCTATATTTGTATGTGTATAATTTACGTGTAGGCAAGGTATATATGTTTACAAGTCACAAACATATGCACAGAAAAATTTCAGAAGGATAATACGAAGAAAATGGGGTTGGACTAGTCCAACCACTATGGAAAGCTGTGTGGAGGACCCTCAAATTACTGAAAATGGATCTACCATATGACCCAGCAATTCCACTCCTAGGAATCTATCCAAAGGACACAAAAACATTAATTTGAAAGGAAACCTGCACTTCTAAGTTAATTGCAGCACTATTTACAATAGCAAGTTATGGAGACCTAACTGCCCAATGACAGAGGAGTGGATTAAGGAGGAGTGGTGTATGTACACAATGGGATACTACTCAGTTATTTAAGAAAAAACAAACAAACAAACAAAAAAAAAACAACAATTACTTTTGCCACTTGTGACAACATGAATGGAACTGGAAGGAATTATGCGAACAAACACCTGATGATTTCACTCATACATGAAATATAGAGAAACAAAAGTGACAAAACTAAACCAAAGCAAACCCTAGAAATACAACTGCAGAACTGAGGACACTACAGGAGGAGGAAGAACGGAGGGTGGGAACAAAGTAGGGAGAGGGCCCAATGGTCCATGAAGAACTATGGGTAAGTTTTGGTGGTAAGTGTGGTGTGGTGTGGTGTGGTGATAAAACACTTGAGGAGCTGTGACCCTGTTCTCAGAAATCATATTCAGTACTGCCAATCAATATTACCGCAATTTACAAAAGGAATAAAAAGACCACTATCACACTACTTCATGATGTTGGGGTTTTTTTTTTTCCTTACACAAAACTCTACTATTAAAAAAAATTCAACTTTCATAGAACTACAATAGAGAATTCCTTTTAGCTCCAAAAATCCAAATGTTAAATCAATACATTATGCCCTTTATCAAATAACATCCCCCAGTGTTAAAGTACTAATAAACAAAGCAAAAATAGCATAAAAATTCTAAGACATTATTAGAAAAAGGAATCAAAGTACATTAAGAAGAAATGAAAAGAAATCCAGGAGGGACACAACATGTCTTATTTACCAAACACCACAAAGAAACCAAATGGATACTAAAACTCCTGTCTGTAATTTCCAGATGCCAAAGATTAATCCGCAAATCATCTGCAGATAAATATGTTTCATAATCACTATTAATAGAAATTGAGTTGATGTGATATGTATGAGCGTTGGCAAATATTCTTCGAGGACTGGCCTCAACCATTAGATCCATGGGCCTAAAGACTGGCACCTGTCAAAAAGACATGAGAAACAGCCATTACAAAATGTTTACTGTTTATAATAGCAGTTAAGGTTCATGACACTTAATTACTCCAGTTTTTGAGAGAACATAAAACAATGTAATATTACAAAGATATAATTTTAAAAAGCAAATGATGTCGATCCTTTAAAGTGTTGAAATGGGAAGCAGGAACATGAACAATCAGACCCTCTTGTACAGGTAACATTACTATTAGGATTCTCAACTAGTTTCAATCTTTTGTTGCTAGTTTCAATCTTTTGCTTGAAAACCTTACAAAGCTTTTTGTTGAAAATTTAAAGTGGTTAAAAAAGGCAATTAGCCAAGAGCATTTATTTCTTGGTATTTTTTTGGGGAAAAAAAATCCAAAAGGGCAGGTTTATTATAAAGGGGAGAGAAAAGTAAAGGACTTTTGCACAGACTAAAGCAGGCAGCCTTGGGAGGAGAGTGGCTCTGTTGCTTGCAAAGGGAGAAGGCTGGTGAAGAGAAACACCTGCATAGTCACAGGTGGGCAGGAGAGCTGCTCTCTTGGTACATTTTTTATTACACTAGAAGATCTGGTCTATTTCTCTGGTCTTCAAAGAAAATTAATTCTGAATCTTAATCCTGTTAGAACTGACATTCAAACCAAAAGAAGGTGTTGGCACAATATAAAACACAGTCCCATGTTGAGTCCTTGTGTACTGCCCCTATCCACACTGAGACCTTTCTGAGGGGCAGATTATAATTATTCACATTCAAGTGTTGTGCAGGATCTAGATTATATAATATGAAATAGAATACACTATCCATCACAATTAGAATAACTTTTCCTTATGTACTTACTCGTAGTGTGGTAACTGTAGTAGGATCTCTGTACCTTCCATCTTCCTCTTTCAAGTTATACCCTTCTGGTCTTTTGTCCCTTTCACTAATTTTCCATAATTTTATTGTTTTATCTGGGGGGAAAAGAAAATCATCCCAAAAATAAAAAATTTAAAAGACCAGTATAAGTGGACAGGAGAACATTTTAAAGTATACTTAAACACATCGTTTCATAGCTCACCTCATAATAGTCCAAGGATAAAGTCTCTTACCTGACTTAATAAAAAACAAATTTCCTAATACCAGGTAAGTAAAAAAATACACATAGAAATATACTACAAATATATTTCTATGTAAAATAAGTTATTCTACAAATAATAAATGCAGAATAACATTTAATGCAACTCATAATTCCATTTGATGTTAAAATCAAGTCACAACCAAGTCCTTAGCCTTTAAAGAAATAGTCACATACATATGTCTATGCATACATACAAATATATATGAATTAGCTCAGCATTTACTTTTTTTTTTTAATTTTTAAAGATTTATTTATTTATTTATACTTTATTTATACAAGCACTGGGTACAGTCAGAAGCATGGGAGGGTGAGAGAATTCACCAGAGTCAGAGCAGAGAGCAGAGCAGGCAGACTGATGAAGTTCACTGCTGAGGGGAGCAGCAGGCGGCAGGAGAGGTCTGCGCGCCATGTGGGACCCTCACCCGGTGGCCAGGGATCGAACCAGCATTGCAGAGGCTGCGGGCAGCTTCGCTAGCCAGCGCTCAACCGCTGTGCCACCGGGGAGGCCCATCAGCATTTACTTTTTAAAAGAGAACAAAGTCAGTGAAGATAGCTTATTATTCATAATAAAAATCCAAGGAATATCTTTCTTGGTCCCAACACATTCTAGCAGATTCTATTAAAGACTCCACAAATTCTGTCTTAGACCTGGATATCTCTGTTTAAATCTATCTTTTCCCAGTTGCATTACAAATTCCTAATTACGGTACAGGGCCTAAAAAAAAGTGACCAATTAAAAGCATATATCCCCAAGTCCTTCAAGACAAAATTTCTAGATATCAAGAATATATAAAACAGCATTTTAAAAAATATATTTTTAAATATTTTTGATGTTTTTAAAAGTGATATATAAAACAGTCAATTTGAGTTTGTATTCTTACTAGACAGGGGTCAAGAAAGAACAGTGCTCTCCTACAAAGTATCCGTAAGTGGAGATCATCCTTTGAAAGAATATTTAGTATTTATACTTTGAAATTGTCCTTGTAGAGTTTGGAACACTTCAAAAAGAGGGGCAGAGAAATTAATATTTATTAGGCACTTAACCTGTACCCTGGGAGTTACAGCATTTACTACCTTTAACAACACTATAATTTTAAAGTTACTGGCTAGTTTGTGGATGAGGAAATTTCAACCCAGTAACCTGTCCAAGGCTACTAAGGCCCCAGAATAGCAGAAACAGAATCTAGCCATAATCTATTGTTTTTCACTACAAACTGGGTGTGCACTAGAAGAAAACTGAAGCCTGAGAATCTCTTTGATACTAAAAGAGAATTAAAAATAGAAGACAGAAGAGTTTATTTTCTTTCTGAGGGAGAAATATTTCCAAATGCTTATTTGCAGAAAGCTTTTAACTAACATTCCTCTTTGAAAAAAGGATTATACTGAACAGGAGTTAGCTACATAGTGGACATGTGAAAAGGAAAAACATCCACTTACCATTGGTAGACAATAAAAACTGAGCAGCATTTTTCTGGGGTAACCACCTAATTTTGTTGATCTTTTCTTCTATTTCTAAACTTTTCAAGTAGTCAAACTCTGGTTCATGGCTCTGAAAGGTGCTGTAAACATTATATTCTCCTCTGCTATGAGACTGGATTTTGTTCTAAAATGGAAACAAAAATATTTGGACCATTGTTGAAAAAATATTTCCAAACAATCAAAAGTAATTAATTTTCAACAGACCTTACAAATTTTGGCCAATTCATCTACATCTTACATACAATTATTCATATCTTCCTCAACTTACAACAGGGTTAACTCCCATCATGTCTGAAATATTTTAAATCAAAAATACATTTAAAACTCCTGCCCTACTGAACATACAGCTTAGCCTAGTCTATCTTAAATATGCCCACCAAACACAATAGCCAACAGTTGGGTAATAAGACCTAACACAAAACCTATCTTGCAAATGTCGAATAGTGTATGTAATTTACTAAATGCTACACTGTAAATGAAAAGGACTCCACCGCAGGTCAGCTGTTGACCACATGGCTGAACTGTCGAGCTGTGGCTGGCTGCCACGGCCCAGCATCACTCAAACATGTACTGCACATCGGCAGCACAGGAAAAGATCAAAATTCAAAAGAAAATTTCTACTAAAATAAAAAACCTAGTGGTAAGTCAAATTCAATAGGAAAGAGATTAAAATAAGGATCAATTTAATTATTAACTTCTCGTTACATGTTAAGTAGTACAGAAATACTGAAAAAAATCTGGGCATCCATAATAAGGGAGCTTATCCAAAAAGTAAAGATTAAATAAGAAAAGCTTGTCAGAAACATCTGGCTGAGACACACCTTTCTCTGCCTACTTTATAGTCAATGCTCAGTCAGTTACTTAATATTACGTAATGTTTTCCTTCACTCTGGTGCCTGCTTTTAGGGCATCTTACCGCTGGAGACTCCTTAAGAGAAGAGCTCTCCTAAACGTGAAGACACTGTTGGGCACTAACCCTCCTATGCCAAGACTACCGTTACAGAGCTCTATTATATATTATTGTCCACATTCAGCAATACCGCAAACCTCACCCCACAAATCCATCCATAACTTGCTTACCCTTCAAGTAAGAACCCTTCGGCTTCTTACGACTCTAACACACACTGATGATTTCTTTCATTTAGTACAAGTGAATATACCTTAAGTCACTAGCTAAAGAAACTGTGAACTTAAAAGTTTATTTAAATAAACTTAAAATAGTCATGTTCAGAATTTCACTTTTTAAACTACTACATGATTAATAATCTTCCCATCAAAAACATTAAAAATCTAGTTCAGAGAAGAACCTATGGGAAAATAGTTTAAATGAAAGGTATTACTGATAGTCAACTATCTAAGTAAAAGTGAACTGTCAAATGAAATGTTTAAGAGTACACGATAATAAGCATAACCCATTAGACCTAGCATTATTTCTCTTATCAAAATAAAATCTTAGTGAATCATCATCTTTAAAGCATGTTTTATTCCCCACCCCCAATAGCTTCATTATTTCAATTGATCCTTCATGGTTATAATTATATTTGGACCCTCTGATAGCAGCATGAATTATTATTGGATGGATTTGCCAACATTAAGAATGCAGAGCATACTGCAGTACTCCTCACTGGGGATATAGATAAGAATGAAATGCAGAACCTTAGTCTCAGTACCATACTCTTACATGCAATTAAATAACTTAATCCATTAAATATATATACAATAAGCATCAATTTAGAATTCCATAAATCTTCCACCTGAAATTACTATCTTTGATAGGTTTGTCATTACACTCCCCAAGAAAACCACCAAAAAACCCCCAGCAATTCAATTTTTTAATATGAAAGCTGTGTTTCAAACTTAAACATACAATACTATGTATGTTAAGCCCGACGGGGATAGAGAAATTTAATAACACAATCTCTACCCTCATGTAATTTGTATATGTGAAACTTTAGTCAAAGTAAAAACTGATTTAAGGTCTATAATTCAGGTAAAGGATGAGCACACATTACATGCAAAAACTAGGTCTCTGTGGTTCATACTATATTTGACTCTAAGTAAAGAGAAGCACAAACATGTATTTTCTAAAACTGAAAAACATCCTAAAATTTCAAGAATAACTACAAGGATCTAATCATGATTTTTTATGTGATTCAGAAATAGTATCATGGAAGTGTTTGGCAGTTCTAATGGCTTTCAAAATGCACTGTTTCTGAAAAGTCTATCTAAAAATGTTAAAGATGGCAGGCTGGGCTCGTGTATTAGCATCCATTTTCCACTGAAACAAATAGACAAGAACAACAGTAACAGCAGACGTGACAGCAATGGAAACAAACAGAAAAGACCATTAAACCCGATGCATGATTTAGCAGACTTCAGAGAGCTGGAGTCTTCAGCAGTGGGACTTTCCCTAAAACTTGAAGAGACGTGTTTGCTTTAGAATGATTATGACCGTGTTGTCCTCTGCATGAACAAAGTAAGTGAGCAAATACGAAAAAAGGAAATATAACCCCATGTCCTCATCACTACTATAGAGTACTACTACATTACACCACTTGAACAAGAAGTCAAAGACTTCATTTTTGCTTTGAAAATGCCTATAATCAGAGAAACCGATACATTCAAAAATGCCTCCATTTGGGTTTTCTTAAAGTTTTTTCCTTAGTTTACCTTTATGATTTCTAAGAGAAAATTTATTTTTTTAACCATACAATCTATTTGTACAACATATTCTATAATGAATTTAGAAGTACTTTATCCCCAACACCTGTAATAAGCGCATGTACCACGCAGTCAATAAAGATTTTCTAAATAAGTAATAGTAACAGCAAATAAGAATAAAAGGTGGTGCTGGTGTGGTAAAGGGAGGTTAGAATTAAGCTGGTAGGTGGAGTATGGTGCAGAAATTAGAAGAAATGAGTTATAAGCACAGACAGCAAGGTAGATCTTGAAAATGTGCCTCAGTAAATAAATATGAGCTATGAGACATAGCATTCACCACATACATGAAAAAAAACTACAAAAACGAAACTGCGTTATTTTCAACATGGACACAAGAAAGAGAATCCAAAAATATTATCAAGCATACTATATCATGACCAGGTTTTAAAACAGAGTAGAGTGGTATTTGTACAAGCATTGACAAATATACCAAGGAATAAAAATAAATGGCCCAGAAACAGTCTGAATTAAAACAAAGGCAGTCTTGCTAAGCCAAGGTAATCTTTTTCACTAAATGCATTTTGGTCAATTGACTATCGTGTGTAATAAAACAAACCTTGACTCCCACTACCTCAAACCACCCTGTAAACTAAGTCCATGTGAGTCAGAAATATAAATGTTAATGTTCAGTAATTAGATTCAAGGATAACACTGTCTAAGAAAGCTTTCTGCAGTAATCAAAGTAATCTATTCCTTTGCTGTCCAATATGGTAGTCACTAAGTTACATCTGGTTATTGAAGACCTGAAATGTGACCATTATGACCAAGAAGTGAACTTTATATTTTATGTAATTTTAACTAAAATTTGAATAGCCACATGGAGCTAGAAATTATTTGCACAGTTCTATAAAAGACAACAGGAATAGGGCCTCCCTGGTGGCGCAAGGGGTTAAGCACGGCACTATGAAGCAAACCGCAGCATCTGCAGCACGAGTTCGATCCCTGGCCGGACAGGGAGCAACCCACATGGCGAAGCAGACCTCTCTTGTCTCGCCTGCTGCTCCCCTCAGCAGTGTGTTTCAGTCAGTCTGCCTGTTCTGTTTCCCACTCTGTCTCTGGTGGGTCCTCTCCTCCCCCCCCATCTCTGGCCTGTACTCAGTTCTTGTATGCATAAATAAACAAATCTTTAAAAAAAAAAAAAAAAAGAAGACAACAGGAATAGAGGCAACAGGAGTAGAGATGTATTTCTTATATAGCACAGAAAAAGCAGGCAGTCTAAGGAAAACAAAAGTTGGAGGTGGATTGTATTAGTACTAATAACCACCATTTGGAAATATGAAAAGGCAAGACATAAAATGGAAGATTTTTTCCAACAAATAAAACTGTGTGTGTGTGTGTGTGTGTGTTCATATCCACATGACAGGCAACCCAAAGATAACATGTATAAATAAAAGATTTTATTTTAGTAGGCACTTGACAAAAGATGATATCCAATACACATAAAAGATATTCAACCTTGGTGTAATCAAGAGTGCACAGATTAAATTCACAGTAAGATAAAATCACAACCTCCAAAATGTTTGAAATTTTAAATAGACTGACAATACAAAGCATTGCTAAAAATGTGAAACAAAATTTGCATATTATTGTTCATGGCAGAATCACTTTTTACTGAGGTGTCTAACAACCGATACGCCTGCCATCTGCAACATAATATAAATATGATATAGCAATACAGAAGACCATTATATAGCAATAAAAATGCACATACTATATCTATATAAATATATACTAAGCAAAATGGTCAGAAACAACACTTACTGTTAAGTCTCCAATTATTACATGTTTTAAGCCTCTCAGTTAAACTGAGTGTTAGAAAACTGGCTTCTGGAGCATGAGTAACACCCCATTTCTTGACCCAGTAGATAATTACACAAGTGTGTTTCTTTTCTGATAAATCATGAAACTATACACTTTCATGATTCTATACACATTTCTACATGTATGATCTATTCTGGAAAAACTCTTTAAAAGTATTTTAAAGTAGGGCCTCCCCGGTGGCACAGCGGTTGAGCGCTGGGTTGCGAAGCTGCCAGCAGCCTCTGCAGCGCCGGTTCGATCCCCGGCTGCTCCCCAGCCACCGGAGGAGGGTCCCACATGGCGCGCAGACCTCTCCTGCCGCCCGCTGCTCCCCTCAGCAGTGTACTTCGGTCCTTCTGCCTGCTCTGCTCCCCGCTCTGGCTCTGGTGAATTCTCTCACCCTCCCGCGCTTCTGACTGTACCCAGTGCATGTATAAACAAAAACAAACAAATGAATAAATAAATAAATAAAACATGCCTCTATAAAAAAAAAAAAAAAAAGTATTTTAAAGTATTTAAACTTCAAATATCTTAACTTGAAGCTGTATATCAGAGCTTTTATCATTATCCTGGTATCTGAATTTTACATTTTCTATCAGGCCTCCAGAAATTCTGATTTAGTAATCTTGGGTCATAGTCTAGGAACTTTCATTTTAAATAATGTTCCAAGTGAGTTTAGTATTTTATACTCTGAAAAGCATAACCTTAAAGTATGAAGATATGACAAGGTAGCTTAGAGAGGAATCTTATTTTACAGTGCTTTGATTCAGAAATGATATGGTGTTTCTTTAAACTTCCCATGTACTGTTTCTATAATAATCTTCACAATGGGCATGTAGCTCTTGTGTATTTATTTCCATATACAGAAAAAACAAATCTTTTTTTCCACATGCATTTCCAGTTCAGAGTCTTCATAGTTTTGTCTTCTGGCTAGATATGCCTCAATCCCTTTAACTATCCTCACTGACATTTCTAAATTGGCTATTCTGAATAGTATACTGCCAGTACCATGTTATGTGAATGCTGCCACATCACCCTAAAAACCAAAGGTTGTATTCCTTCACTTAAACATGAAACTAAATCAATTCAATTTCGTATAAATGTATAAATGAAATTGAATTCTCTTAAACCAAATCTTGATTTGCAGCCCCATCGTAGCCTTTCCAGTCACTTATAAAGAGAATACACAATCATATTAACAATATGATTCATCATTTATGTTTATCATGCTTTCTGAGGTTTCTTCCGTATTGTCAAGGATTTCTGAGACTACCACATTAGGAACAAAAACAAATGAGAAAGCAAAGAATCCTAGAAAGTTACCAGTAGTCCTGGAAAAGACAACTACCATCTATGCTAACAGTCACTTAGAATCTTCCAAGAAAACCTATGTTGCTATTTTTCATTAATGAGAAAGAATATATCCCACCACTTACTTGTCAAAAACTATTCTATATAAGCTAAGAAAATTAGTAAAATGGATTTTACCTATTTCAGGACATGTTGGGAAGAACACTGGATTAGATACCAAATTTTAGACTCTTAATGAGCCGGTGATGGGTGTGCCTCAGGAAATTCATTTTAACCTTTATATCTCAATTCGCTATAGGCCCTGCTTCTATGATAAATTGTCTAAATAGAAAACTACTCAAATATGTTAGTTGTAAAAATACTATTAGACAGTCCTCTCTGCCCCCCAAAAGTTATAGACTCACCAGGCAGATATATTCTAACTGAATGAAGACCCACTAAATAGCTACTCAGTTTACTGGTATTTTGATTGGGGAACAGATGGACAGGCAACAAAAGATACTAACGGGATGACAGCAAGGGGACATGCTGCTTTAGAAGATTAAAGTGAGAAAGAAAGGTGGGGCTAAAATTGCTACTATATGACTTTTGCTTCATAAGGGCCAAAAAAGAGTGGAAGTATATTCTCCAGTGAAGTGAAGCAATGAATCCTGCCACTGGGTGAGAGGCTACAGCCATAATAGTGTAAAGTGCCACTTATGTTTGGCAAACACAGCATCATTCTCAGAGACTAAGAAATGCTCACTCAAATAGGAACCAGAGTACACTGGAAAATTATGCATAATAGTTGTGGCTGTTAGCAGAAACTGGACTGACATTCAGAGACCCAAGTTCTAATTCCAGAGCTTTGCCACTAAACTAATCATTATAAGCCTTGATATACAGACTGCCTGAGATTTACATAAAATTTAGGAAAATATCATTTCAAAAAATTATCTTCTACTTTCCAAACTCTAACACTACTTTATTATTTTTTAAAGATTTATTTATTTATACAAGAACCGGGGTATAGGCCAAATGCGCGGGAGGGCAAGAGGATTCACCAGAGACAGAGCGGGGAGCACAACAGGCAGACTGACCAAATACACTGCTGAGGGGAGCAGTGGGCGCAACAGGAGAGGTCTGCCGTACCATGTGGGACGCTCGCCGGCCAGCCGGGATCTAACGGGTGCTGCAGAGGCTGCGGGCAGCTTCACAGCGTGGTGCTCAACTGCCTGCGCCACCAGGGGAGGCCCCAACACTACTTTATAGAGATATGAATGCATAACATCTAATCCAAAATGTTAGGTCCTGAAATAAAGGTGTCTCTCTAGGTATAAGATACATGCATTTATACAGACAATGATTGTTCTGAAGAGTGAAGAGAGCCGATGTTAGAAGCTCTACTTTAAGATGGGGTTTAAATATGTGGAAAATAAATTAGGTGAAACACACCAAATTATTAACAAGATCAAGGTTCAGGGGAGAAAAATACTATCACTGGTATTTAATCTATCACACAAAAATATAGTACTGATATTTACAATAATTATTTAAATACGTGCTACTAGCCTGAGGTTCTAGATAATGCACCTGTCTTGAATTCTTAAATACAGTTAAGAAGAATGATATATAAAGAAGGATTTCCTTTCTTCCTACTAGTGGCTCTTCTCAAACAATCATTTTGCTAATTTCTTGTAACATTATGGATATTAATATTAGTCCTTGAGAATTTCAGAAACAAATCAAAGGAAATGATTATTCTTTAACTTTTGGTCTAATTTTTTTTTTTTTTTTTTTTTTTTTTTATAGAGGCATGCTTTATTTATTTGTTTGCTGGTTTGTTTGTTTTGTTTATACATGCACTGGGTACAGTCAGAAGTGCGGGGAGGGTGAGAGAATTCACCAGAGCCAGAGCGGGGAGCAGAGCAGGCAGAAGGACCGAAGTACACTGCTGAGGGGAGCAGCGGGCGGCAGGAGAGGTCTGCGCGCCATGTGGGACCCTCCTCCGGTGGCCGGGGAGCAGCCGGGGATCGAACCGGCGCCACAGAGGCCGCGGGCAGCTTCGCAACCCAGCGCTCAACCGCTGCGCCACCGGGGAGGCCCTGGTCTAATTTTTTGATACAAGTAAAAGGTCTGAGCAGTTTCACTAACTCCCAAGTTAGACCTTTAATTCCAATTAATTAGACAACCTTTAGAAAAAATACTGTTTGACTGCATTTATCAAACCCATATTAAAGGAAACATCTCCATTTGATGAGTAATGTTCTTTCTCAGATTCAGTTTTGACTTAATAACCAATATCTACAGAAGGTGAAAAATAACCTCATTCTCAAGCAAAATATTTCTAAATTAGCTTTTAATTGGCAATACCCATGCATTTGTTATTTTTTAAGATTGGAATTGCTTAGTACGCAAAATTAATTTTAAATGTTTTTTTCCCAAGTATGTCTAAAACAAAAGCAAGGTACACAGTGTTAACTAACTTTCAGCAAAAAATAAATTCAAGGGCAGAGAATTCCTATGAGAAAATAAGCTCTAAATTCTGAATAACAAAATCAGCACTAACATTTTGGTTTCTTAACATGAAAGGCCCCAAAGAACACTGAAAAGACGATTATTTCAAAAGTTCTGGATTCTGTCAGTTCTGCCACTAAGTAATCAAGTGCTATATTCATGTCTTGACTTTCATTTGTAAATAATAGGACATTTTAAGGTTCCATTTCAACTCCAAATATTACAAGATTCCTATGGTCAAGATTTTAGCTGCTTGAAAATAGGAACAGAAAAACTGACTTTGCCCCTCCCCCACAAGAACATTTTTTGGTCAAGAAAAACCTGAGCCTTTTCATGTTTTCTTCTAACCAAAAAAATAATAAAAGGAGACATACTCAGTGTTTGTGCACTTTCTAATCAGACACTTAATCATTTCTTTTAAAATTAAATTACCTACCTCACTGGGGTGCTGTGAGGATTAATTCATTAGTGTTTGTAAAGCACTTTGAGATCCTCAGGTCAAAGGCGCTATAGAAGTGCAAAGTAGTAGTATTATTACTAGATTCTTTGCTTATTTAAGGAATTTCACAATCCTTTAAAACCTAACTCTGTTATTATTTAGACAACTATTTGTAAAGTCCTGCAATTTGTCCACATTGCTTTTAAATCTTTTAAAATATATTAAAGATAGGGGCAAAATATTTCAAAACAAATTATTTTAAGGATTTAACTTTGATTTCTAAGTGAAGGGAGAGTAAAGGAAAATCTAATGTGATAAAAGTTTAGCAAAAAAAATTTAGTGAGAAATTTGCCAACAGATTTAGAAGTGTGTCTATGTTATACCCAAAACAAAAGGAAAATCATTTTAATTACAGACCCTACAATGAGAAATTCCCTTCTTCAAAGAGAAGAGAAAGCAATTTTCAAATAAACTCCACTTTAAAATAGGTTCAGAGCTCATCCATTACATTAGAGGCACATATATGCAACTATTATTTAAAATCCTTATATTTAAATTTCAACAGCATTAGTGTGAATTCATGTAAAAGTAATTAGAGGCTTTTTCTTTAGCTTCTTACCCCCTAATTACACAAGGCAAACTAAACATTGAGAAGAGGTCAAAGCATTTTATTGTATGGATTTCTAAGGGGGAAAAAAAGTAAGACCAAGGATTCAAAATCAGTTAAAATCTTGGATTATTCTACACTTCTCATCCCTTTCTCTAGTCAAATCTTTGTCTAATCAAAGCAGTGTGTTTTTAAAGAAAACAACATACACATACACAATGCACATACACACAACACTAGAAAAACCAGAGCGAGCTATACATCGGACATATTTCTTTTTAAAATCTCATCCCCTGATGAGATTCTCCAATGCAACACAAGCGCCAGTCCCAGGAGCAAGCTGAAATTTAGGTATTAAACACTTACCTCCTGCTCCTGTTGAAAGATGACAACTCTACCACCTTTATCGCCAGTTGCTAGTAATTCTCCAGAATGATTAAATTCTACTGTAGAAATTATATCTGCTGTATAATTGAAACAAAAGAATACATTAGTTTTTTTCACAAGAGTTTCAGAACTAAGCACATTTCCCCCAACATAGTCCAAGTCTATGTATCAAAAATCTGTGATGAAAAATAAATCTTTCATGGTTATTTTGGTTCACCAAAATAAATTAATAAACAATGAAATTCTGCTCCAGAATAAAAATGAAATTATTCTATCAAATAGATAATTTACTAATATTTTACTAAATTTGTAAATGTAAAGAAATTAACAATTTGTGAAACATTCTATGATAGCACCATTAAATTTTTTTCTTACTAATATTCTTTCCTATAAACCTTTAATGAGCTTGTTTATGCAAACCCAAAGACGGCTGATAAAATTAAGGCTGATAAAACTAAAATGGAGGGAAACTTTAAATGTAAAAATAATTTCAGATGGAATTCTAACAGTCATAAATTAATAATGGCTTCTCAAACAAAAGCTTGCACAAAGAACACAAGTATGCTAGAAATTCTTTGTGCTATTCCCTTTTGATAGGAAAAGCTCCTCTGGTGGCTCTCAAACACATACAGGGGCTTGTTAGAATCAGTCACTTCACACTCAAAGTTGGTACTAATTTCACAGTCAAGTTCAAATAAAATGATCAGTGTTTTTTCCTTGCTTTTTTGACATCAAAGCCACTTTCCTAAGAAAAAAATTCTAAGTTACAGAACTGGGGGTTAAGATAAAGTCATTATCCTGTATACGACTCACCACTGACAAGTCCTTCACTACAAAGTATTAACTAAATAACTTAAATTTAAAATTTTACTGACCAAGAATGTATCTTATCAGTAATCTGCTCAGCAATGCATTTTATAATTTTCTTGCTGTGATTTTTCCAAGTCCACAGTCTTTGGCTAGCACTTTAACCTTTCTGGAACTCTTTGAGAATGTACTGAAAGTTACACATTTCCCCAATAAACTGCATATATTTAAGTACACAAAAATTTGCATATATTTTGCATATAAGTTTGTCATAGCACTATACCAGTTCCAAATTAAAAACCTTGGCCCAGACAGTCCACCGTGGTTGGTATCAGGAGTAAAAAATTAATTTAGAGTTTTACTGAGTGCATATGTAAACAGATAAAGGATCGAGTGTCTTGAGCTGCTCTGTATATACAAATATCAGTATTTAGAAATCATTCCGTTAGATGCTCTGTTCTGAACTGACTTCTGTAGTGAACACAGTAAAGTATTAAAAAACAGGGCCTCCCTGGTGGTGCAAGGAGTTAAGCACCACACTATGAAGCAATATGAAGCCTCTACAGCATGAGTTTGATCCCTGGCCCACCAGGGAGCAACCCACATGGCGAGGCAGACCTCTCCTGTCTCACTCGCTGCTCCCCTCAGCAGTGTATTTCAGTTAGTCTGCCTGTTCTGTTCCCCACTCTGTCTCTGGCAAATCCTCTCACCACCCCACAGCCCCCTCCCTGCACCTCTGATCTACACCCCAGCTCTTGTATGCATAAATAAATAAATCTTTAGAAAAAAAATAAGGGAATAAGGCAAAAATCATCCACAGTAAAAATTAACTTTAAATCCCTGACAGGCATCACTTTGGAGACATCAATTCCTTCTCTTGTAAGTCCATTCCAGCCAATGTTTCCTACAGCATTGATAGTTTGTAATTTCTATGTAACACAGCAAATAAAACCAGTCAATTTGAATATAAAGCCAGGCTGTACCAAAAGCAGCCATCTTTGAACTCTAGAATATGCTCTTGGCTTGGTAAAATGCTCACACCTGACACCAATACCAGAGTCATTCTCCTGTTCAGTCAATGGACTAATGGGCAGAGCTGGCTTTGTATGTAAATTATTTGATCTTTTCACCAGGTCCAAAATGTTGCATTCACTTAAATTTAAAAAGTCACAACTCCCTGTTAGATAGATGAACTGTCATACCTTATTAAGAGATCTGACTAGCTCAACTAGCCTCGCTGTTGAGCAATCATGAAAAGCAGGGAAATAGGTGGGTGAAAACAATGATCTTAATTATTTAAACACACATGCACACAAAAACATACACATGGGCTGCTGCCTCAAGGAGGGGCAAGTTGAAATATAAAAGCATTTCATTTCTATTCCTGGACACTGGCTTTAACACAAACTATTAATGAAAGCTGAGAATACTCAAGAACACTTTACTTTTGCAATTAATTTAACCATAAGATGCTTTTTAAAGGCAAAGACATTAACCACACATCAGTCCTAAGAGTGAACTCCAGGCAAGTCTTGAATTAGTGTAACCCATCAACTGGGTCATGGTCTTACAAACCAACAAAAACCTTCCTTCCTCTTTAAAGAGAAAAATAAGAATATTCCCTAAGATCAATAAAAATGTTATTTCACAATGAAAAAACGTTATTACTCTTACAAAAGAACCTTCTAATTTAGTTAAAAAGATCCTCGGTTAGAACTTCAGTCAACTGTCCAACTATGTAGTACCAACACAACAGTTTCAGTAACACTCTGACTGCCAAATTGTGCAACATATAGGCAGCTCTTAAAAGAGATAATCAAATTTTTGCTAAGAAAACTTATTATACTGTTTTTTATCTTTGTTAAACTTAAATACTATCAATAAATGCCAAAGGATTTACAATACACTATAAATGGACATTTTCTCCAACCCCTTCTTTCTATATACTGTCAGTACCCAGGTTTCATCCTAAGGTGGAACAGCTGCTTTCTTTTGTGGGGTGAAATGGTAGTTGATGGTGGTAGTCAGAATAACAGAAGTTTTACTGATCTATCTCTACCAGAAATACTCTAGTCACATACTTGCTCTATTTCTTTTGTGCTATAATAAACCTAATAGGATACAATCAGACAGTCAAAAGATGTCTATACCACTTTCACGAAGCAAAAAATCCATAACATATATAAACAGTAACTAATAATTAAAATACATTAAGTGAACAAATTATTATTAGCTCTGACATTCTTGAAATATTTCAGCTCTTGCATTGTGAGGCATTTTATGGAGGAACTGACTATAATTTCTTTTGATTAGTATGACTCAAACTAATCACACAATTTGAAAGAAAAAAGTACAAATATAGTTATAATTATATTACCTCTATAATGAAAAGAGCTGAATATATTTCAAACACCCAATAATTTGGAAATATAAAGGCAAACTTTATATTTAGTTAAAACCGTGGCCCACTAACCTGTTTCTGTAATGTCAATAATGTTTTATTGAACCTGGCCATGCCCATTTGTTTATATATTATCTTTGGCTGCTTTCACTTAATAACAGGGTTGAACAGTTGAGACAGGTGGAAAATATTTACCATTTAGGCCCCTGTAGAAAGTATTTGTCAATCCTTGCTCCAGTAATAGACATTGCACCATATAATAGACATTAACGGAACCGCAATCTCACCGAAGGTTTAGAGAAAACCAAAGCAGCCAGAATTTATGAGCAGAGTGCAGAGAGAAAGCTTGAAAAATCTACAGAGGAATCACTTAGAATTTGTTTGAACAGTGACCTGACCACAAGGCCTAAAAAAGAACCCCCAGAAAGTTTATCAGGGTTCAAAATAGGGCTCCCTCAGCCAGAGTAACTTAAAAATTAATGAGGCACTGGGGGGAAGGAGGAGTCTTCAGAAGTGTTTAACTAAGTGGGACCAAATAAGCATTAAAACCTGGATTTGCCCTAATAAAGCATAAAAGTAACTCTGAAAGGATCAAAATGATCCGAAGTAACATTACTACGTGGTAGAACAAAATCTACCACTCAACAATGTAAATTCACAATGTCTATGCAATCTAAAAATCACCAGGAATATAAAACATGAAAATATGATGGGAAGAAAAACAAACCGACAAAACACAGAGAGAACTAGAAATTACAAAAATTAATGAGTTGAGCTTCTAGGAGACAAAAGTCCTTAAAACAGCTATTGTAAATACGCTCTATAGGCTCCAGAATGTAGAATAAATCATGAATGTGATGGAAAAAGACAAATAAAAGGAACACCTAAATATGAAAAATACATTATCTGAAATGAAGTATATACTAATGGGATGAACAGATTAGCCACTACAGTAAAACAGATAAAAAAAACTTAGCAACAGAAGCAAAACAAAAAGCAGCAGAGGAAGAAAAAAGAACAAAGACCTGACATATAGGATTCTATCAAGTGTTCTAACCTATGTATTACTGAAATCCAAGGGGAAACAGTTGGGAAATACTGAAAACATGACCAGTATGTAAATGCATGACAACTCTACTAGGTGTAGAATAATCACCACAAAGGAATGAGTTGTAAATGCAAATTCATACAGGTATAAACTAATGTCAATTCCAAAACCCCATTAACTGCCTTGCACTGGTGATGTGATTTTGTAGAATCAAGAATTCTTTGTAAAATTCCAATATTTCAAAGCAGTCTTCCCCTGATTCACACACAGTAAACTTCAAAACACAAGATAAACCCGAGCAAGAAAATACTTTATAAATAAAGCAGAGGGCCTCCCTGGTGGCACAAGGGGTTAAGAAACAACCTATGAAGCTGTCCGCAGCCTCTGCAGCACAAGTTCAATCCCCGGGCAGCCAGGGAGCAACCCACACAGCACAGCAGACCACTCCTGACTCGCCTGCTGTGTACTTCAGTCGATCTGCCTGTTCTGTTCCCCACTCTGTCTCTGATGAATCCTCTCACCCCCCGCACCTCTGGCCTGTATCTCAGCTCTTGTATGCTTGTATGCATGAAAAATAAATCTTTAAAAAAAATAAATAAAAATAAATAAATAAAGCAGAATTGGGTTTTAGGCATAGAAAATAAAGAAGCTTTTTCTCAGCTCTATGAACCCTTGGTAGAATATTTTAAGTCTCATGTAAATTCTGGAACAATTTTTTCTTGTTCAAGATTATCCCGCAAACTGCCAAATAGTTAACACAACTGGCCTGTGCCACATAAATGTCACTAATGCCCCCAATCACTGGCAAAATTGACTTGAAA